AAATAATCCAAAAACTGTCTATAAAAAAAAATAAATAAATAAAAAACTAATGACAACTATTGAAAAGATTTATTAATAGCATCCAACCAGTAAACGATAAATATCATAGTCTCAAATTTGGAATTCATTAACTATCATTAGTTTTTATTTGTAATCTGATTTTATAGATAATAAAAACCTGAAAAAAATTTCAGGATACAGCCAGTATATGTCAAATAATATTGTAAACAAAGCCTCCATAGAGCAGCTAAGTATTCAAGAAAGAAAATTGGGAGATCATCGCTCGAAAAATGTTTAGTCTCACATATTCAGCTTGACTTATCGTATCTCTTACATACACAGCTAAAATCAAATGCTGATGGTTATCATCCAAGTTTTGAAGGGAGGCTTTCGGTAAGAGCACATAGTAGGTTGAAATTCTTTCGTATATTCCTACGGGCATGTGAAAGAAAAATATAATTTTACGATTTTGAGGGACCCTTTGACTGGAGTTTATTTTTCATAAAATTGCTTACACACGTACACGCTTTGTAGCATCTAGCCAAGCATACAGCATAGGGATTTATTACTTCACCGAAGTCTTGGGATCTTTCGGCCTCCATCTTTACGTTCTTACGTATACAGCTTCTTTATATTTTTTTTTTTTTTTTTTTTTTTTTTATCCATCCGACGTCACCGTCGTTTCGTTTCAGCGCTAGCTGGGCGGGACAGGAAGGCTTTTACGAAAGAAAACGCGAGCCAAAATGCTTCAAATGATGATAGAGGAGATCCAAAAGAAGCGACGACTACTCGTGAGATTTTTTTCCCTCCCATTTCTTGATGTCTTTCTGCCTTACTCTTCGGGGATGACTTTGGCTTCTTTCGCTCCTTCCTCTTATACCCTCCCCCTTTTTCCTTTGAATTTATCTGCTGATGTTCGTGTACTTTCTGCAGCATATGATCGATTTTAGGACTTGGATGCACGTAAGCTTTTAGCCGCTTTTTTGTATTTTAATTGCTGGCGGAGATTTCACTTTTTTTTTTTTTTTTCTTTTACCTCTAATCAGTAAGTTAATTGAGCATATCAATGCGAAAAATGATAACATACTGTTCGAACAGGTTCCAGCCAACAATTACAACCTCAAAGTGTCTGGTAAGTAGAAAAAAAATCCTTTGGACAACAATGTAACTATGTAAGAGCATATTCAGTATAAAAGGTGAAAGACATGTAACCCAAGGCATTGTATCCCAAATCTGGCTAGTACAGTACTCCAAAAATACAATATTAATTTTCTTTGTAATATCATACATTTGTTGTACAAAATAAATTGTTAAGTAATAATAATAATTATAATAACAATAATAGTAATAGTAGTAATAGTAGTAATAATGATAATGATGAATGATGAGAATGGTTTGTCTGAACTGTTAGTTGAAACATAATTTTTGGCAAGTATTTTTGGGAAAAAAGAAAAGAATGAATAAATAATTATATAATAAAGAGAAAGAGAGAAAGAGCGTTAAAAAAATCCTCTTGCCCCAAAATTAAAATATTACCTCCATGAAATTTACTAATCAAAGAAATAACACTTAAATCTTTATGACTTGTAGTAAAAATACATATTTTTTGAATACTGTATAATTATAATGCAGGACCACAGAAATAAACAGGTATAATAAATCGTAACGTTAATTTGCTCCAACAACTTTTTTTTACAACGCAAATGTGTTTACAAGATGTAATGCTTCAGAATCATTGTTTAATAGCGGACTGAAAGAGACTCAGTAAGTACTGTTCTGTTTTTGTAAGATCTTTTTTTTTTTTTTTTTTTTTTTTTTCTTTGATATTACGGTTTAGCAGTAAAATTAAACCAATGGTGATAAATAAATATTCTGCTCTTTTGGAACAAGCGAAAATGTAGTTTTATAACATCAGAAGAAAAAAAAAGTCAGTCACTTTTCGCTCTCAATCCGCACCGAATCGACAAATGATCCAAAATCCATGTACATATATACACACCAATACACACATCAGGGAATTCGATTTTTTTTTTTTGCATACCCCCGACAGGTACAAATATTGCGTGTCGCGAAAATTCAAACTTCGGTGAGGGAGAGACTTTTTTCCCACTTTCCGCCTATTTATATTCCTCTGCTCTCGCACGCGTGTGATTTACATCCAAGCTGTGCCAGCGCGCGCGAGGAGAGAAATCAAACGCGGACCGACGCTTCGATGCGACGTACACGCGGAAATAGGCGTCGTTGACGCTGCCCTTTTTTTTTTTTTTTATATGCATACATATCGGCACAGATGTGTGTTTTCCAATATATATATTCTTTTTTTTTAAATGAAAAAAAAAAAAAAAAATTCAGATAGAAAGAGCTTACCTATGACGGTCAGGTTGTCCATGGCGTAGTTGGTGGCGTAGTAGGGCGCGCCCGTCGACACCTCGCACTTGTACTGACCGGTACTGTTGAGCGTCAATTGGGTCAGTCGCACCGCAGTTTTGTTACTTGACCTCACCTGCGAACCCAATACACATTCATAAGTGTACCCTAAAAATCATTCGTTTGGGACTGTAGTGAAAAAACATTTTTATTCATAAATTTGGCGTAAGTAGGTTTATACATTGTTGAGGAAATTTAAAAAATAAGTCCCTGAAAAATTTGGCAACACACGTATAATCGTACAGAGGTTTACTGGGAAAACGAAAAAAATTGTATTTCATTTTTTTTTTTTTTCATCATCTTATAAAATAGTTATGGATATCGTAAAATTATTGTACGTATCCTTCACATATTGGGCAACATAAAATAATATGTTGGACTCTTTTCTCTACTTCCATAAATTTTGTTAAATAAAGCTTAGCTGTTTCAAACAATAGGTTCTATTACTAAAAAAAAAAAAAAAAAAAA